TAACCTTAAACCTAACCCTGAACCTAACCCTAAAACTAACCCTGAACCTAACCTTAAACCTAACCCTAAACCTAACCCTGAACCTAACCTTAAACCTAACCTTAAAACTAACCCTGAACCTAACCTTAAACCTAACCCTGAACCTAACCCTAAAACTAACCCTGAACCTAACCTTAAACCTAACCCTAAACCTAACCCTGAACCTAACCTTAAACCTAACCTTAAACCTAACCCTAAACCTAACCCTGAACCTAACCCTGAACCTAACCCTAAAACTAACCCTGAACCTAACCTTAAACCTAACCCTAAACCTAACCCTGAACCTAACCTTAAACCTAACCTTAAACCTAACCTTAAACCTAACCCTAAACCTAACCCTGAACCTAACCCTTACCTTAAATCGCGCTTCTGTCGGTGTGCTGTTGTGGGCACGTTGATGACGTCGCGGTTTTCGCACTGCGGTTTCGTCGGCGCGCCTTTGTCGTGCGCGCATTTGTCGGGTCACGGAACGTTACAGCCCAGGCAATCGCCCCCACACCATAATCCATGCCAGCTCCTTCTGAATTCCAGAAAGATTTACAGGACGTTCTGTTCACGGCATTTCTACAATTTACTCAGGGCGCAAGGCTTCAGATATCATTTGGAAAAAGTGGCTCACGATACCCAAGAAGGTGAAAGCAAGCACCCTGTCTTGAGACTCATTAAAGCAGCTGCATCGTTTTCTGGAATTTTACTCCTGCTGTACTATGGGAATTTGGTACCGTTAAAAAGCACACTGAACACAATTTCAAAAGAAATCAGTTTTCCCTTGTAGGAAGCGCCGTATTAAAATGGACAAACTTCCCTTCGTCTTTGGAGGAGGAGTTTATTTTATTTCATTTCCCAGAATCCAGAATGCTTTAAAGGACACTTTAAAAGAACATTTTAAAAGCGTGGTGTGCGAGTTTTACAAGCCAGTTCTTTAAAAAGCAATTGCGCAGGCTTACAGATTTAAAGTATAGACAAACATGATTATTCCTAAAAAAAAAAAAAATAGTAGAAAAAAGTCAAACTTAGGTAGCCAAGAAAACAGAAGAGAAAATATACACTTAAAAGACAAGACAGTTAGTTGGTGGCACTGCATTCAGACGAGACCAGATGCGAAATGCGCACGCAGTTTCGGCGATGCTTCTAAACACGATTACACTTTGTAGAAAAGAGAGCTAAACTTTTCAAAGGTTGAAATATTTCATTTCCCCAATAAAAGGCAGGGGGGAAAAAAAACCACCCTCTGCCTAGGTCCGCATGGAAGGACGGAGATTCAGGTACTTTGGTTGAACATTTCCCAGGGAGGGGTCCTGAGTTTTTAACGGCTTTAAGCCCCCAGCCCCTAAAGCCGAAGTCGGAAGGGACATTTTCTCCTTTAGAAGCGAATGCTCCCATCGGAAATAGTTGCAGCCCTTCGTATTCCTTTCGCATTTTCTCACCGGGCAGCTGTAAAATGCTTTGCCCTGATTAGGGCCGCCGTTTGAAACATTCAACCTTCTAGCTCTTCGGCCACAGCGACATAAAGGAGGAGTCACCCTCCCGGTTTCCGCTACACGGAAAGTCGAGTTGAAATTGCCCGGAGAGTTCAAGAAGGCGGGAGAGACGATGCACGGATTGGCCCCGGGAGACAGGAAGCTTCTCGACGTTGAGCTTCCGTCCTCGTAGATGCTGAACGGCGTTTTTTTGCTCGGTGGCAAAGATCTGGGGCTGGAGGGCTTCCTCTTGACGGCCTCGGTCGAAGAGGCGAGAAGATTTCTGCCTGGTGGGTTGAGGGAAGAGGCCTCCGCCGTTAAAACCGGGAGCTTAAACGCGGAAGCATCTGAAGGTTCCTTGGGAGTTCGGCCTGGGTTGTAAATAGTCGTATTTGGACTCTTATAGACAACACATGTTGAGAGCTCTCTACTCGGTCGAGCGTCTGTCCTATGTTCATCTCCCCGATTCATCAATTTGCCCCTATCTTCTGTCACGAAGGCGCTCTTAATTGGCGGGTTATGGTTTGAGGGGGAGGATTCTGAATCCGAGTCGTCTTCCTTTTCAGGGATGATGGCGGCGTCCTCCCAGTCGGCCAACATGGACAGACAATCTGGAGTGGTGCTGATGTCGGTCTCGGATACGGTGACAGTGGAAAGTGTTGTGGGGACCAAAACTAGCCTTCGATTGGGCATGGAAGGGTTTGAAATGAGTTGGTCCTTGTTCCCCCAACTTTGAAGGCCTAAAGGCCTATAGCAGGGGTGCTGAAGATTACCCAGAGGCCGGCGGGGTCTTCCGATGGACGGGGTTAGGTTCTGTTTGGCGCTCTTTCCAGATGCGAGAGGGGCGTCCTCAAACAAGCCCACGCGGACCGTCTCTGGTGGCAGGTCTTCCTCTTTTCCCTCGCTTTCAGGGGGGACTTCCTTTTCGCTTTCGTCCAACGGTGGCGCTTTGACAAGAGAGTTGTTTCCCAAAGGGCCACCCTGGGTGGGTTTCCCACCCCCAAATTTGGCCAGGGAATTCTTCGCCGGAGTTGCCTAAAGATTCCATAAAGAAAGGAGGTCAGCCAATCTCCTGGCCAGCGTAGCTTCAAACAAGATCCCAAGTCAAAAGTTCTGTCCGTAAAAATCTTGCCGGGTCAACCTTGACCAGTCACGAGCACCAAGGAGAGAATCCACTAACCTTATCTAATGATTTTGTGATTTTCATTACACACCCGTCACGAATCATCTTCCAAGCCAGGCGAGCCGTATTCCGAGAATCGTGCAGGCCTAGGAAAAACAGGAGGTGCCACTGCTAGTAGAAAGGACTACCGTATTTTTCGGAGTATAAGACGCAATTTCCCCCCCCCAAAAAGAGGGTGAAAATTTGGGTGCATCTTATACACTGAATGTCGGCCCGCCCACCTGCCGGCCGCCACCCTTTGGCCTCTACCTCCCAGCAATTTGCCTCCTTGCAGCAAACAGCAAACAACCTGTTTCAGCTTCAGCACAGTCTGATTAGCACAAGCAGTTGATTGTGGGTTGGATCAGCCTCCCAACCATCAGCTGTTTCAGGCTGCAGCGATTGCCCTTACCTATTACCGTCTCTGCGGGCCCTGTTTTTGGCCTCTGCGTGCCCCATTTTCTGCCCACTTCTATCCCCGCTGCCCAGAACGGATGGGAAATAGCGTGCACAGAGACCGAAAACGGGGCGCATGGAGGTGGCAATAGGTTATGGCAATCCCTGCAGCCTGAAACAGCTGGTTGTCTAACCAGTAATCTGGCTTGGAGACCTGACAGGCTGATATCTGCAAAACTTGGCAAGGAGTCTCAGAGAGTCACAAACAAATTGAATGAACTAATTGTCTCCTGCAAACTCCACTCCCCTTTCGCTCCTCTTTTATTTCCTCTGGGAGGGGCCATTCATCGTCCACCTGTGGCTTTACTCCCAAGTCAACCCCTGTTCTTTAGCTGTTCCCTTCGTCTGGCAACTCTGTGCATGCACACACTGGAAGCAGGCTCCAGCTGTTCGTCTGCCTCACTGTTGTCTGACTCCGAAGGCAGCTGGTAACTGTTGGGGCGGCCCACTCTCTGCCTCCGACACAGAGCCCTCAT